TCTGCCTCATTTCCTCATATTCATCCTGGCTGGCCATCACAGGGCCACAGGGGGTGTGTTGCCCCCCCTTGTGTCATCGCTGAGGGCGGCAGTGGCAAAACAATCTCTGGCGAGCATTTAGATCATTTATTCAGAGCGCCGGGTGTCAGCCGCAAACCAAATTGCCCACATTTGTGTGCCGGGGTCCTCTCCTCGCACCTCTCCCTTCAGGTTGGACATGAGTGCGAGCCGTGGAAGGTGCATCAGGCTGGGTGTCAGAAGGCCTCTTCACAAACTAACACTAATGCCACACGAAGGTCTTTCTGTGAACAGTGTGAAAGTGCGAAATGTATGATAAATTGAGCGTGCCAGGGGGGCTTTATGGCTGTGAAGCGCTGTGGCTGGTCGCAGGCATTGTTATGACTCTGGCTATTTAGGATCATGGGAGTTGACAGTGCACTACTGGCAGCCATAGAAGCCAAATTTATCAGGGTTTTGTGCACCAATGAACAGCAGTCACAGTGTGAGAGAAAAACACAAAGTTTTCTGAATTTAACAGAACTTCAAGGACATGATAAACACCAGTGACCCCGGTTAATGCTATTAGCTAAAAAGCCTCATCCAACAAGGTGACAGCACCTCAGAAATACCTTTCTTTTCATCCGACCACCTGTTGTCAAAGTGTTTGCGGCTGAGAGGTGTGAATAAAAGAATAAGTGGATGTATTCAGAGACGGATCGCCGCAGAGATAGATAGAAGGCAGGTAATCGTTTTGGCCTAATGGTTTCCTGATGTCGAAATCGCGGTACATGACACTGGCTCAGCAGTCCGCAAACATCTGCCGGAGACAGATGAGAACCATGTGAGCCAGTGCAGGACGAGCAGTCGTGCATTTGTCTTTGCCTTTGCTGCCACCCACAGTACAAACCCTGTCTGGGCTCACAGCTGCCACAGCACAAACACAATGTGAGAGAAATGTAATCATGACTGTTTGAAAAGACATCTGTGGTTAGTTTTATCTCCTGAATGATTATAAGAACATGACACAGAGATTTATTTAACGCTTCTTCATACATATTACTCAAATTACACACTGCTATCACAGCATAAATCATACCTTATATCTGAGGTACATGGTTGTTTCATGCTGCCATCTGCTGGAAGACTTCATGAAACACGGTCTCCTAACAAAAAAAACAAAAACAGCCTTAACCATGATTTTAGAAATACTGAGGTCAAATAAAAGTACTAGTAGATCATCGGCCCCTGTAGGCAGACGCACTTGTCTTCAAAGTGAAATCTGAGATTACAGATTTACCTTATAGTTTTAGATATTATTTTGTTAACAACTTAATCTTGGTACAAAAAGACTTAGAAATGCTCTGCCGTCAAATATCGATCAATCTTAGGAGCTGCTGTTTATGCTGTTAGTATACCGATTATTTTATATTTAAATTTTAACTGGATAGTTATGTGGTGAATTCTTTCTGAATTCTAGTATAAAAGGTATTGATAAATTTGACTGTTGTATTTCACTATTTCTATGTCTTCTGGGCCTCTACCACACCTCACATATTCATTATTTATTTTTCATTATATGTATAATTGTTATCAATATTAATCATTTTATATATAATAGGGATGTAAATCACAGGTTCCATCATGATACGATATCACAATGATTCACTTTGGACAATGGTACTATATTTGCTGATATTACAAAGTCTGCCACGATACAGTTACCATTCAGTGAGATTCAAGAGCCTGTGATCAATATGAGACGGTATCATCTGTCCATTTAACACAGTCTGTGGCAGAATAAGCTGTCACCCCTTTCTTTTTGCTTTTGGCCATAAAAGATAAAAATAACACATAAATATCTTGTAAAATGTGAAAACATCTTGTCATAGCATGAATATATCTTGTAAAACGTGAAAACACATTTTGTTATAGTGTGAAAACATTATCGATGTAAATCACTGGTTTCATCACAACACGACATCATGTCAATTCTTTGAACAAAAATATGATATTTGCCAATATTACAAACTCTGCCATGATACGGTCAGGACATGATGCCACTGAGGGGCCTGCAATCAATATGTGATGGTTTCATCTACCCATTTAACACTGTTACAGAAGAAGCTGCCACCCCCTTTCTTCTTTCTTTTTTTGGCCATTAAAGATAAAAACAACACATAAATAATGTAATTACTTGTAACTGCTTAAGTGCAGTAAAACTGACTTTATACTTACTCCATTAACACACACAGTACACAGCACATGGGATAAGTTAACCTTCAAGGCCTCCTGTCACAAAATCCTTCCTGGAAGAAATCTTTTCATTTTAACCCAAACCATCATCTTTTTCCATGGGAACTGCCAACTGGTCCGACATCCCATTGTTCCGACCATATTAAACCCATTGTTCTGAAGTCCCGTTGTTCCGAAATCATCATGATGCCCTGTGGTTAAGGTCTGGTTAGGTTTAGGCACAAAAACCACTTGGTTAGGGTCAGGAAAAGATCATGGTGTGGGTTAAAATGAAAAAGAAAGTGGCAAACACATAAGCCGTGAGCCTGCTTTGCCTCAAGCCTTTCCCAGCTGACCCAGAGCCGGTCGCGGCGCACCATACGCCCGCCGCGAGCCGTTCAGCACCGCGGACAGTCGGAATAATGGGATGTCGAACCAATGACATGGACCCCTTTTCCATAAAACTTCAGGTGTGTCTGGCTAAAAGCTCTGAAGGTAAACTTTTCCCAGCAGACATAAAACATGAATTAACAACAAAATCATTTAACAAGGGTAAAAAAAAATCATGTCAGTAATAACTGTCAAGGATTACAGACATGTCAGTTGTTTTTGCAAGTCAACGATTATTAGCTCGAGCATATTTACGTTGCATAGATTAGCCTAGCGGCTAGCTTCTGATGGTTAGCGGCTAACAGCTAGTGGCTAGCAGCTAACGGCTAGCGGCTAACGGTTAACGGCTAGCAGACTTTATTCCATTCATATCTTAACAAATTAACGTTACATGTATTATTTCTACTTTTTCTTACTCACCGTTAGTTTAAAGTCGCTGCGTCTCCCAACAGAACAATACGGTTGAATTTCAGACTGCAAGCAGGCTTTTCAGCCGAACATTGTTGAGCAGCTAATGTTGCTGTAGAGAGAGGTTAGCTGAATGAGATGCCAGTTCAGGCAGGTAACGTACGTCATGTTTTATCTCATAACGGCACTGTTTACGTACGGCAGGCTTTTGTCTGTTGACCCATTTATTTTCCAATCGAAAATACTTCCACTCTGCTGATTTATTTCAAACTAAACAACGTTAATAAATAAAGAATAACGTCCTCGTTGACGTATGTATATGTGAGGCAGCTACCTACTAACGCCAGTAGAAGGTGCTGTTGCGCTGTCTATCTCGCAGCAAATGTATCAGTTGACACTGTTTGTCCCTGGCAGGACGCCGTAGCTTTGAGATTTGCTCTGTTTAGGACGCCATGTTTTTCAAACTTTACTTTCTCTTTCCCTGCAAGCTAAGCGCTGTAACAGCGTCCTGCAATATATCATAATATCAGTGCTTAAACCACACATTCTGTTAATTTGTTAACTGTCGCTGTTTACGAACACATCAGGCTACAATCCGCCACGAGGTTTGACTTTAAATTAACTGTGTTTTTTACTGTTTGACGTAGGGGTGGGCGATATGGTCCTAAAATAATAAAACAACATTTCAGGGTGTTTTTGCAATAACTTTTTTTTTTTTAAAGATATGACATATTAATAAAAAATGCATATTTTATTATTTATTGAAGAAAACACCATTGCAACAAAAAATAACCGATATAGTTTCACATGTCAACCTGACACTTTTCCTTCAAATATTCAGTAAACAATAAAGAAAAATGATCTCTCATTTCTTTAGTTTGTAAACAACAACAGTAACTCAGAGTGAGATTCAGAGTATATAATATTAATAGTTCAACCAAATAAAATCCACCACAAATTACATATTTAAACAGCTCCCAAATACAAAAAAAATGTACCCTGGGATCTATATATATAAATCAACAATTTCCTTCTTTTAGTAAAATCCTAAATGATTGTTTTTTCCCACCTGGATCTTCATGCTCTGCCATTTCTCCTCTAATCATCACACCGTAACCTGTGACAGGCTGTTATGATACCACAACTATCACACATTCACAGATATGGAGTTTTTGTTGAGGCACAAGTGTCACATAGGTTTACATTATCAAAGGTTTATGACAAAATCACTTGATGACACCAACTCCTGTGTGCGCACGACGAGAGAGGAGAGGGAGAGACGCTGTGCTGCTGCCAGAGGAGCTGCTGAATGAGTTCCCTCTGAGCGGTAAGTCACTAAAAGAGTCTGAGAAGTCCGGGGCTGTTCATAAAACATTCAGGACACCACAGTTTATTCCACACTACTGAAGCTGCTCTTCTTCTTGGAACCACCATGGAGTCGGTAATAATTTTGCTTTCAGCAATGCTTGTTGTTGCCGTGGGTAACAGTATGATGTCAATATGTCAACAAGTCAAAATATCAGTATCACAATATGAATTTTTCATGTCATACTAAAAAATACACCAGTATTATCATGAACGAGATGATACGGCACACCCCTAGTATGACAATGTTATTGAGGTGTGGCTCTTTTTTTCTGTCCTTGTGTCATCACCACTGTTTTAATTTTGCACCAAGACAAAACAAAACCTGAGAAGTCTGCAATCCTCACCCACAGATGTCACTAAATCCCCATAAATCTTACACACTGCTCTTTTGAATAACGCTATTTCAAAGTTTTGTTGTTTCTTCGTGGGAAAGTTGCATCATTTACAGTTCACATACAGCTCTAGCTGGACAATTGTCAGAATGTCATTTTGTTTTGATTCAACAAACTGTTCCATTATTCAAAACTCAATACGGTTTTGAACAGAACTCAGTAACTAAACTCACTGTAGTTGTCATTACATTTATGATGAGTAACCGGTTTATGGCGAGCCGTGGTTATGACTTCAGGAGCAACCTAGGAAAAGGCATCTACGGGAATGTTGTGAGTGCGTTTTCAACCCGCCTGGGGAAAAGAGTTGCCATAAAGGTTGTAGACAAATTAAAGGTTAAATCTGTGTACCTGAAAAAGTTTCTGCCTCGGGAAATGGAGATCATCAGGTCTTTGAACCATCCCAACATTGTCAAGACTATAGAGATATTTGAATCATGCACAAGCAAGGTAAGAAATATCTTTAATTCACTTTCTTTTACTTAAAGGGGAGGGTTTGTTGCTTTAAGCTGATTGGAAAGTTGTACTGTGTGTATTTTTCTTTTTTGCTCACTGTTACCTATTTAGCTCTGTTGACTATTGTCATTAGTGTAATCAGTTGTTCTGTAAATGAGAAACAAAGAGGCTCAGACAGAGCCTCAAAACACTACTGTAGCCATAGCAACAAGGGAGTGTAGCTCCTATTTAACAACAACAACACAGACAGGTTAATTCTCTCAATTGGGTGTTTATTCGGGTATTTCTGTCTCTCTGAAGCTTTTTGACAATCAACCTCGGCCTCAGACATTGATAAAACAAAAGTTGAGCCTAGCAAGACAACGTGTGTCTCAATTCAGGGGCTGCAGCCTTCTTGGTCAACTTCGGCTGTCCCATTTTGGACACTGTTCAGTTTGGCTGATGCGGTCTTCAAAGGACGCAGCCTTCGTGGTCGACTTCTGCCACGTCCTTAGAAGACCGCATCAGCAAAACCGAACAGTCTCCAAAATGGGACGGTCTGGTCTGCGGAGGATTTCCTGGTTGAATGAGCAGTTGTTCTCGCCCTGACTCATTGGTCTTCCTGTTACCTAGCAACCAGCTGCACTTGGTCACGAAAGAAGTGCTTGATGAAAGAAGGAGTAAGCTCATGAGTTAGTTAGCCCTAAATCGTGGACCCACAGATTGTTATTATATATAAATATTTTTTATCTAATACTTGAAGAGATGATTCACCACCGTTTGATTTATTTCAGGCTGATGGACCGTTTTCAGGTAAACATATTAAATTAAGATTCTTTAAGTTGTGTGCTTTTAAATAATAGTAATGCTAACAACAGTTAACTATTAGCTAGTTAACTGTTAGTCAACATAATATATAATCGTCAGCATTGCACAATGCATCTTAGGATAGGCTGGGCCACAAAGGATTCATCCGTTGCATCCTCCAAATTCTGGGAACAAAGACTGCATTTCTCTGCCGCATTTGAAGGAGCCTTGGAAATGGGACAGCCTTGGTCGCGCCGATGTGACAGTCAGTCTTCAGATGCAGCCCCTGCATTGAGACACAGCAATTCTTAACACTGCTCTTGCTGTGTCACAGATTGTGTACTTCTGTACTTACACTTAATATTTTGAGTGCATAAGTGCGTTCACACTGAGAAGTATGAAAAAATGCAGTGCACTATGAGTACCCGGATGGTGCACTCAAAACGGTCAAAAAGTTGAGTGTGGAACTATGGACACTTCTCCCTCAATGGTCGCCATCTTGGCTACATAGCAGAAGAGGGACCACTTTTCAAACTGGAAATGGCGGCCGAGGACTGTGCGACCGTGAACGTCGCTGCATTGTACAAATATATGTGTTTTTTGCGATAAGCACCACTATACTGTTGTCGGGTATAAGCCAGCAGTATGTTTATTGGGTTAATTTAGCAGTCTGTAATGATTTGGTACTGCGAACGATAACGTGAATGCTAATGCTAATTTGCTAACTAGCTAATTTGCAGTCATCATTTCCGGTGAGTGCCAAACGGCCATGTTTGGTTTGAGACAGCACTACCCTGTCAAAATTTGCGCACTAGCCAATGAGTACATAGTGCACACAGTATATTACATAGAAGTATTGTTATGGTCTCTGGACCTCAGTACATTTATTTTCTGTGTTTAATGTGCTGTGCATGTCATTATGGGAATTATTCGGCCAGCACTTGTCAATCATTTATGCGTGTCTAATTGTCTGCTCTTCTGGAGGGAATCCCCGGCGGACCACGCCTCCAGCCCGCTCTCCTCTGCTGCTGTTCAGCGTTCCCTCGCTTGCTGGTCGGCCGGCCCCCTCGCTGTCGTCATCGGTTCCGGCCAATCACCGCTTCACCGGCCCCTCGTCCGAACCTTTAAAGGCTGCACGAAGTCAAGAGCAATCACGGCTGTGATTTAACCTGAGCAGTCCGCCTCGCTCCGTTTGTGTTTTCAGCTGCTATAATCTGTTCGTTGTTGTTGTTGTATTTGGGAATATATGGGCTTTAGGATTTAGCTTTGTAGCCTAGCCACATCTCCTTTGCACACACACGTAGATTGTTTGATGTATGGTACACTAGCTTTATGGGTGTCGGTTTGAGTGTTGTTTTGTTTGTGAGGTAAGTCATAGAGCAGACAGACAGATTTGTTTAAGTTTTGTTATTCCGAGTGGCCTTCCACCACCGTTAGTTAAGTTAGTTGGGGTGTTTATTTTGTTGGTGACAGGTCAGAGTTTTGTTTTAATTGTTTTATGGTTTGCCGTCACCCACCGCCCTTCCCTGAGTTTGTTTAAATATAATTTACCGCCGAGGCTCCTTTCGTGAAGCCCGATTTCCGGGTTGTGTTACAGAGCCTGCGAGCGTGTTTTTCTTTTCTGTACCGTTTTTTTTATAAAGCGTAGCTTGTATTATTTATTTTGTGAATGAATAAACGGCAGCTTGCCTTATTCACTTCATTGTTTGGTTTTATGTTGCTTCCCTTACCCCTAGACACATACTGGGTTGTAACAGTATACTAACGGAAGTATGTGATTTGAGACACACCACCCACAGTAATTTCCGCCAAAGTGGCACACCTGACAAGTAACATTAGTTCTGCCACAGATAGACAGATAAGCAGACAATGAACCAGCAGAAGCTTTCGTAGCTTCAACTCTTAATCATGTACATTTTACCTTTTATACATCAACTCAGTCACAAGAATCACATTTTATCCTTAATGAATTATTTATCCATGTATTTAGTAAATTATGCGTTAGTGCTTTAGGAAGCTACAAGTGAGGCTATACTGCTAGCATGATATTAGCTTTATTTTGCTGGACGACGCAAGTTTTTTAAAATGGCAGTTGCGGGGTAATTTGATTTGATTGATTTTTTTCATCTATTGCATATATGATATTTCACCATGAACTTTTATGTCTTTAGGTCTATGTTGTTATGGAGCTTTGTGTGAAAGGAAACCTCTTGAAGCACATCAATGACAAGGGGCCCTTCCCCGAGCATTCAGGCTGCAGGCTTTTCACACAGCTGTGTGAGGCCATCCAGTATCTTCATGACAGTGACGTGGCTCACAGAGACCTTAAATGTGAAAACCTGCTGCTAGACAAACATGACAACCTCAAAGTGTGTGACTTCGGGTTCAGCAAGAGGCTCACTTACGCAGACGGGCAGGTGGTGCTGAGTAAAACCTACTGTGGCACCTCGTCCTATGTAGCACCTGAGATTTTGAGGAGTGTCGCATACAACCCCAAAGTGTCCGATGTGTGGAGTATGGGTGTCGTGCTGTATATGATGCTCTATGCATCATTGCCCTATGATCACACTAACATTAAGAGGATGGTGAGGGTTCAAACTCAGCATAATATCAACTTCCCAAACACGTCTGTTTCCTCTGAGGCAAAGGAGCTTATCCAAAGCATTCTGCATCCTGATGTTGAGAGGCGAATTACAATCAGCAGAATATTACAGAGCTCCTGGATGTTGCGGAGAATCGAGGACAGTGAGGCTTCCACATCAAATGCTGGCTCCGAGCAGGAAGGACATCCAGATGAAAAGGCCAAAAAGCATGAGAGACTCTCAAAAGACAGTTCAGACCCTGGGGAAGGACCATCAACTGCTGCCCCAAGACACTGAGACTTTAAATAAAAAGCTTCACTTCAAGTAGTTAGGTATCTACTACCTTTTCGGACTTTTATTCTGAAAATACATCCACCTCTAGGGCGCCTCGGTAAGGTCCTGTTACCAACTGGTAATTTGTTGAGTTAAAAAAGAGAAGGTGGCGGTGGCCAGTGTTGGGGGTTTGTCACTCTAAAAATTTAATATATTACTCATTACTCATAACAACAGTCTTGTACTGAATAAGAAGTGGTGACACAGCGTGTTTTCTTCACATTTTGAATTAATTGCCCTGGGCTAATATGTTTTTGGAAAATGGTATCTGTAACCTGAACTGATCTACTTAACGTTCAAGTGCCATGTTGTCCAAAGCTGCTTCTGTTGACCGATACCTCCTCTTTAGATCTTTGGTCTCTTCAGAAGCTTGCACTTTTTGTTGGCCTTACAGCAACAAGAAAAATGTTCGCTGGCAACCTCCTCATTCTTTGTCCTGGAATCACTGGCAACAATCCCTACTGTATATATGTGGAGATATGTGGAGATGTCAGTAGCAAAAATGCGTAATGCCAAACAGTCAGCTATTGATACCTAGGTTTCCCTTCTTTCACTTTGTCAGAGGTGAAAGATTTTCTTTGCACATCCACTGGATCATAGTCCATATACCCTATTTACTGCTGTTTTTATCTTTCATTAAACATATGTATTGTTTGTTTGGATTCTTGTGTATTATTGTGATTGTTTGTTATATATGTTAAAACAACAATAAAAAATAGATAACCCCAAAAAATGAATTCATTGTTCAAGGTCTGCACACACTAAAAAAATCAAAACACAAGTAATTGTACTTTGAGAAGTTTATTGATCAAGCACTTGTATATTTTTACGTGAGCAGGTTTGTTGTAACTACTTTTTACTTTTACTTGAGTAAAGATTGTCATTACGCTTTCCACCACTCATTCACATCATCCCAGGGGTCTTCCATGTCAAGCAAGGTGTCATTCATATCTTCTGCTGAGCCACTCCCAAGATCAAGAAACATAGGAGGTTGGTCTAGAGGCTTCGGGGCCATCCCACTAAATAAAACCTTATAGGAGACCATGTTGGAGTCACAGTAGGCATGCAGCATCTGGTCCACAGGGCTGTAGTTCAGGGCGTGAATGTTAGGAGACATCTTGTTGATGAAGATACCGACGTTGAACTTCTGCTCCCCGGTTGTGGTGTCAAACGAATAGAAGATCTCCTCCACATCTTTGTTGACGTACCGCGTGGCATAAAGCACGCCACAGGCCATGAAGGTGTTTGTCACACCCCTCTTGTAGACCAAGGTGCGCCAGGTTTGGCCAAGCCTTGGGGGTTCACCCTCCTCCACCTTGGATAACACCAGGTTGCCAAAGTCCTGTGTGGTGGTATAAATCACCCAGACACCTGACTCATCTGTCGCCAGGTCCAGGTCGGTGAACAGGTAGCATGAGTCAAGGTGACAGAAGTTACCATTTGAGTTATACCTGAAAAAAACAGAATAGAACTGATGATTCATTTGGAAAACAGTATCTTAGTTTTCATGTTCATGTCATTATGTTAAATTTGTCAGCTTATAATTTTACACACAGGTTGATCCATACATTCCACTTTTGATATTCTTGTTTTGTTGTTATTACAAAACTACCCGTTCATATAAGGATCTTAAAGACTAAGTTGAGCAGTGAACCTGGTGCCTTTGGGCAGCTGTAAGGTGCTAACAGTTTTGGCGGTGAGGTTGAATCGACAAACAGCAGGTTGATTGTAGCAGTTGTAGTACAACGCCCCTCCATACAACACAACATTTGGACCCTGGATGGTGTTGGTGGTTGGGTTAGAAGTGTGGATCTGGACATCACCTGGAAGAAGAAGAAGAAGAAGAAGAAGAAGAAGTATTATTTGTTAAATATTAAAGAAAGCAATCAATAGTGTAACATATTTGTGCTTTTTCTTAAATGATAACCATGATTATGATAAATACAAAACGTTTCTACTACCTAGCACACTAGCTCGCTAGTTAACGTTGTCTCCTTATCAGCTCCTTGATCATGGATCAATGGAGAATATAGCAACTTTCACCACAGTTCAGGACGTAGGCGGGTCCTGTCAGCTTTCCTCCAATGTCAACACACCCCTGGATGTGGAGCAGTGGACTTTGTCATTTTTTTCCCCGGGGGTTTCATGCCCCTACCCTCCAGACAGGCAGACTTGGCCCTCTGGACCATCCATTTCAGCAATACCCTTCCACAAATTATCATCAGATGGCAACTTTTCTTAACAAAATTTTGAAGTCAAAATAGACAACTTGATTTATAGGGGGTTCTGGTTGTAAAGATTTCAGATAACACTCGCCCTGGGGTGTCCGTCACAGGAGACAGGATGAAGCTTTAACCGTTTACTGAGGTATCTTCAGTACAGCACAGCAATACAGTAGCCCACTGGCATACATCAACGATAGGGATGTGTGTGGTTGATTTGCACATTCACGCACACAGGAAGTTGGACAGGAACAGGTCCGCCACAGAAACAGTCTGAACAGTCTGTGCATAACTGAGGCTGCAGACGAAGTAACTTAAGTGACGCAGCAGTCAAACATGGCGTCCCTCCGATTGCTCTCTCTGTCTCATCACATTGTCACTCAGGCGTGCATCCATAAGTCCACCTAGCCACTCTTGGACTTTATTACACAACTTTTCAGCTAGCTAAATTAGTGAGGTAGCTGTACTAGCTAACATGCACGCTAGCGCTAGTGTTCTAGCATGCTAACAACTATGATTAATTGTGCGTTAATTGTTCTATAATTCAAACAAAGACACATTTTCTCTCGGTAGTCCTTATAAAATGAGCAGTGGTTGAAGTTACTATATTCCATTATGATCGGGAAGTTGATACGCAGATGAAGCTAGCTATTCGTCGAAATGATGACCACTCCTACTGCTGTGAAGTGATTGGCTGAATTAAAAACACTAATGAGTTTTTGATTGACAGGGGATTGTGAGCCTCTGATTGGCCACATAAAAAAATGATTGACAGGTACCCCGCCCTCTCGACCTCGCACATGCACGTCTCCTTTTAATCGTTGTCATCCCTCACACTGGCTGCCAATCAGGGCTCTTGATGTGTCACACATTTAGAATTTAAAAAGGTTTCCCATGAGGTTTTTAAATTAAATTATATGCTTTTAGCGAGAGTTTGCCTCTTTATAAGGAAATGGGTACGCATAACATACTGATACAGTCAATTAAAAATTCATTCATAACTTTATGTATAGGCCCAGTTGAATATCACAGTAATAATGTGTGGCTATCACAAAATCCCACAGCACACCTGGATTGGCATACACCATGTGAGAGCCACAAAACAGAGCTCTCCTCATAGGCACCAAATCCACTCTCAACAAAACTGGACCCATCTCACTCACTATCGGCACCTCGACCATCACCCCCTCCCCCCTGGCATGCAATCTCAACGTTATCCTGGACCCCACCCTCTCCTTCGATCACCGTGTCAGCTCCATCGTCAAGACCTCCTACTTCCACCTCCGCCGCATCGCCAAAATCAGTCACTGCCTCTCTCCCCCTGCTGCTGAATCCCTCATTCACGCCTTCATCTCCTCCCGCCTCAACTATTGCAACTCCCTCCTCACTGGCATCACCTCACATTCCCTCCATAGACTCCAGATGGTTCAAAACTCTGCGGCCCACCTCCTTACCCACACCCGGTCCTGTGAACACATCACTCCCGTTCTCCACTCCCTCCATTGGCTCCCCATCAAACAACGCATCAACTTTAAAATCCTCCTCCTCACTTTCAAAGCTCTTCACCACCTGGCCCCCCCCTACCTGTCTGACCTCCTCATCCCCCACCGCCCCTCCCGAGCCCTCCGATCTTCCTACACTCTCACCCTGACTGCACCAACATCCAGACTGAAAACCTTCGGCGACAGAGCCTTCTCCAGAACAGCACCCCGATTATGGAACTCCCTCCCCCAACCTGTTCGCCACTCTCCCTCACTTCCCATATTCAAATCCCGCCTGAAAACCTACCTCTTCTCCCAAGCCTTCGACCTCCCCTACCCCTAACCACCTCCACCCCACTGACTGTTCCTATACCGCCTGTGTTACATCCCATCATTTCTTTTGTTCACTGTGTTGTCTTCTGCTTGTTCCCCTGTCTGTCACTACCCCTTTTGTGTTACTATGTAAGCGTCTTTGGGTCTTTGAAAAGCGCTATACAAATTTAATGTATTATGGTTTAGGCTGATGCTCACAGAGCACGAACACGAGCACATGGGCTAAAGGATGCTGACTCCAGTTCATTTAACGGCCTCAAAAAGAGTGGTCGCTGATAATAACCATCACTGTTGTGATTCAGTGTCCTACTAAATGATGTGTATTTGACTAGAAGTTTTTTTCCGGTCTGTCCAGTGAAATAATTTATAAAGATCCAGAGTTGTGCAGGGCCTCAGGTTTAGAACAAGCAACAATCTGTTGTGATTTGTGTAATTGTTGGAAATCTCCACACCAAGTACAAGTACATATTGCACAAGTATGTGCACTGAGCTGGCAGGCAGTACATTTAAAACTACAACGCACGGCTCCTTACCAGGTGCACTAACCCCAACAACGAGAGCGCTCAGGCTGGAGTAGAGACGGACGTAGTTGGAGAATTTGTTTTCGGATGTCAACATTACCAGCCAATACCATTTCTTCTTCCCCGCCTCTGGTTTGGGATCCCGGCCCCAGGCTCCATAGTGGTAGGAGCCAGGATACTCTCCTTGTGTGTTCACCCTCGGCCCAGTAATGTTTAGAAATTTACCAAGGGGGCAGTTACCTGAGGGAAAAATAATAAATGAAAGAGAGAGAAGGAAACTATGTTAAATAAATACAGCTGGTTGACTGAGGTGTCCGCTGGTCAATATTTACTTCCTAATTGTAGTGACTGGAGCAGAGCAGTATTTTATCTATCTGGTGACCTCCATCTCCCCACACTCTGGTGCT